CACCCCGTATTTTCTCCCTTCTCGGAGTACCGGGAAGTTGATAAAATAGCATGTAAAAGAGGATGCGGCAGAGTCTGCATTGAGAATTGTCATTTGAAACATTGAACCTCCACCGTGTGTTGCTATTTTTAATTGTGATCGGCCTTTAATTTGATTTTTTCGTTCTTTAACCCGAAATAATCTACAATAGCAATCGTATCATAATATTTTCTTTTCAAAGTATCATGTGCAAACACAAAATATTAATTCCAGAAATAATGTATAATAAATTAGTTATGTTTTATGTTTTTTTTAACAATTTTCCCGATCTTTCCTATGATATATAATTATTTCTTTTCAAACGAATAGGAAATTATAACGAACAATCAATGAAATTAACATACTAATAAGTTCACGAAGTGATACCATAAAAATTATACTAAAAAATAAAGAGCAATCTTTATGGAGCGCCAATCTACGACAAAGTTTGAAAATCATTTATGACAATCGGTTATACCTTGCTCTTAATTCACTTCTCTATCGATTATTGCAAACTGGGCACGTTTAAAATATTATACTTCTTTATTTTATTCTTTCGTGGTAATAGCCGATACAAAACTGTCGTCAACGACACCATTCATCCTGATGACACACTCATTCTTTACTGCGAAGAAACGTCTCTTTGGAAGGGGAATTGCATTTATATACAACACATGAACAGTCATAACCCGCCTCACTATTTCGATTTTTATTTTCATAATACGTAGTTAATATTGTTCGTGATATAGGATCTCTATTACATGTATTAAATATTAATGTACATGTATACTACTAATTGCAGATGTTTTATGTCTTGTGAATATGGAAATGTATAACAATTATTTAAAAACACTTTGAATTTATTTTAATATTATTACTGTTAAATAATCAGGATCGGAGAAAATCAAAAACGTGTACACTTTGATAACGAAAAAGTCAAAAATAAAAAAGTTTTTTATTTGCATTGGTGTAGTCTCACAGATGCACTAAGGCCTATGTTACGCGTACATCGATGACTTTACTCCAATAAGATATTGCAAGTAAATATAACTCTTATTCAGGAAAACGTCACGAAAACGTTACTTTAATCAGGAAAATGTCACGAATATGATAAAACAAGAAATTAAATCCGTGAAGGTGTACCTGTTTTGTCGCTGGCGCAATTCTACGAACTCACCTGTTCCTACGTACAGGATGTCGTAGGCCTTGCCATCCAACGCTTTTACTTGAGGATCCACTGCCACCTTTGTAAATCTGTAACTGTTCACGTTTTATTATTAGCATAAAATTAATATGCTGTCATACTTAAGTTGAAATTTTTATTATGGACTATTTTTAAGTTTTAACAAATTTTTAGGTAGTTTAATTTTAATATTAATATTTTAATATTATTCAGAATCACGTCAGCTACCCCCTTCTTCAGGGACTGTGAGACACCGTGCATGTTTATTACATATGAACATTATAGTGTTATTTTGCAGTTCTACCTATTTTAATTTCACTACAGTTCTACAATTTCAAATTGCTCTCTGAAATGCATCTGGAACTTGTCAGAATTTTATATATAAAACATATAAAAAGAAAGAACTTACTTGAAGCTGACTTTGGTGACGACAGGCAACGCGAAAAAGGACTGAACAGCATCGTCCATGAGTGGATGCGCCTTAACGAAATTGACTGTCGCGTCCGGAAGTGTTCTGGAGTCTTTCACGCATGCACCAGGTCTGGGTTCCGGTACATTTTTCGATAGTACCCTTAGCCAATTGCTGTTGATGGTCTCCTGTTCTTTGAACGCACCCTGGAAGACTTCGAGGACGTTCTTCATCGAGAACGCGCAAACGGCCGAGCCACCGATCGAGTTCACGGGGGTCGTAAACACCCCATAAACCAACCGGGCACGCTCGCCGGCGTAAACACCTTCCGTGACGTCGCTCGTTGACTCTGAAATAATTGCGTATCGCTCGATAAAGCAGCAATTTTATTTGGTTAATTTAACGAGTCGCTCGCTCGCCAACAATTCCTCGTAAATTATTTTTCATTTATCGGGCAAACAATTTGACCACCTAATTTTTCAACCTTTGTATTACGAAGTAATGGTGTTTGTTTTATTATAATCAAGGTTTATTAGCAACATACGGCAACCTAGTTTTCTTGTTGTATTTAAGGAAATTTGGATTTTCGGAATTTTAATGTGGATGAAAGAAATCTATGGGTAATTATTTGGTTTTGTCATTTTGTAATTTTGGGCTTCATTTTGGATATTCCAATATAGGACTTAGTACTATTAATTCTGTACTTATGAAATTTGTAACTTTGTAATTTTACAATTCTGTGATTTTGAACATAATAATTTTATGATTCCTATAATTCCATAATTCTGGGTTTCGTAACTTGATAATTTAATATCTTGAATTTACTCATTAGCTGATTTGTCATGTCGCGGCCATTTTCATACGTCCCGGCCATTTCCATAAATCGCGGCCATGTATCAGGAGAATACGAAATGTGAGGAGGCAACAGGATGGCTATCCTTTCGGACCTTGCAGAGTAGTAGCGGCTACGGGGAGGCTTTATGCCCCCCCACTGCAGAGCCGCAACAGGGTAAGTGGTGTCCTGGGTGGGGGTCCAGGACGCCAGGCACGCTGCCCCAGGGGGGACGGCGGTGCCGCGGTGGTCCGGGCACTGCCGTAAAGATTAGTTTTGATTTTATGGTGGGGAGGTCTTTTCTGACCTCCCCCGAAGTAACAAAGAAGGACCACCGTGGGGGTTTTAGTGGGTAAGAATCCCACATAACCCCGTGCCCTCCCCCAAGGGTGCGGGGTATCTTTGGAAGATTTCCCCCACGTTAAAAAAAAAAAAAAAAAAAAAAAAAAGGATAGGATAGGATAAAAATGACCAATTGTTAGGCGAGACGCATAACGATACGACACAATCGCTATGCATCAGAGTGAGAAAACAATATATATGTTCTGTCCTCTTTCCATTATACTGTTCAGTCGACCATGAAAATTTATGACTTCTTCGGTTTCGCGGACCTCTCACTCCTTCTCGGATCTCTCACTCGGCGGCGGACTTCAATCAAAGAAGTGGGGATAAAAATTTGCTAATTTCGAGGCTCGAAACTGTTGCTTGTTTCGAGGCAATACTGTACAAATTATTTATATATTTATGTATAAAACCAGTATTTAATATAGGCATATGTATATTTGAAATATATAAATATATACACACATAATTTCACACGTTGCTACTGACATTGGGTTAAGAATTTTGTCCATTATTACTTACTTTCTTTGTTATACATTAACATAAAAAAAATACAAGAGTCGCATATACATTAAGTTAGTTAATATAAAAATATGTTAATCACATAACAAACAATACATGATCCATTTCAATCACAAAGCCTACAATTCCTTGAATTACTTCCTTAAAAATGGTCTCGTCTCTATTAAAATGCTCTCTATATATTTAGCATTTTCAGAAATATGTGTAGTTTCTTACCTTATTCATCTTCGGAAGATGTGTATTCATTTACAAATTCATCTTCACTTTCTGAGTCACCACTCATGATTCCAAAATTATCTGTGGCTTCTTCTATTATTTTATCTCTTTGCCAATATTCTTTTTCCAACTGTTTTACATGTTCCCAAAAACTGCGCCAATCAGCCAATTTTATTTCGTTAACTGCTTCAATGATATCTGCTACTAAATCATTGCTAGATATATAATATGTATTATTATCTTCTGTTTTTATTCTTACTTGCATCCAAGCTTGTTCCATAGGATTTAGGAAGCTCATATTTGGTGGTATACGTAATATACTATGTCCATGCAATCTTAATGTTTCATCAATTTTAAAGCTTTTCTCCAATTTTTTATTCCTTTCTATTAGTTCATACAATTGGTACTTTCGCATGTCTGACCCATGTGAAATGTTATTATCCGCTAACCATTGAATCATTTCCTTATTTGTAGAATACTTTGAAGGTGGTTTGCTCAATTGTACAAACCAGGGGACATCATCCATAATTATCACAGATTTCTGAGAAATATTAGGCAACAATTTTTCTATAAGCCATTTTTCAAAATTTGTTGTGTGCATTTGTCCTGAGTAGTTACCAGTTGTAAATGATTCAAATACTAATTCGGCTCCTCTTATAAAACCATTCATTCCTGCAGCATGAACAATATTGAACCGATGTGGTGAGCTAACATTTTTCACAGGTTTTTTATTCTCCTGACCTTCCCAACACTCACGAAAATACAAAGTATTGTCCACAGATGTTTTACCAATGTAAATTATATTCTTATCATCATTCCTACAATATAATATTGCTTCTAAATATTTAGACCTTAAACTCACAATATTTGGATTTTCAACTAATACTTTTTTAATACTGTGAGTCTTTTTCCATGTAAAACCCATGCGTTTAAGTAATCTATAAAGTGTAGTTAATCCCCACGGAAAATCGATCTTTTCTTGAATGGCCTTTAATAATGTACGGCCTGTTGGAGAAATCTTCTTTACTACATAAAACTCATAAATAATATTTCTGATTATTGTTTCATTTTCAAGCGAGCAATGAAACTTTTTATCTTCACTCTTCGCCCGTTTCTTTCCTGGCGATGGTAGAGACTCGTTTTCGCCGTATTTGGTATCCTCCTTCCGAATCCGAGTAATAGTTGTGACAGACACTCCTGTGTATTCCGAAGCACGGATAGTTGCTTGCTGAAGTGGATAAAGAAATTGACGTTTACGTGCTTCTTCATCACATTTTCTTATAACATGACGGATTATATTTCGGGCTTCGCTGTGTATTGTTTGGCCCGACTTGCGTTGCATAGTAATTATAAAAAAAGTAATATTATAACGATGAGAAATATAAAACACACAACTAAAAGAGTTACAAAAAGAAACTACGACGAGAAAATTACAATGCAAAACACTCTCATTTACTACTAATGTTTAACCTAAATGCTAAACTTTTAAAACAGAACGTCTGTAACATTGAATTGAAATAGTGGAACACAAAAAATAATGAAACAGAAAGAAAGAATAACTATGGACAAGGAATTATTAAACAATAAAACAATTAATAATCACTACTAGAATGCTTCGGAAAGACCGAAGAAGACTATGTTTGTAGCAAACATAGCGTCATATCAAAGCAATGAGTATGTGTATACTCGTCAAGAAAAACAACTATGAGGAAGTCATGATCTGTTTCACTTTTGCACACTCTACAATCTATGTCAACACGTCTGCTCTCTCGTGATGATTGCAGCGCTAAAAAGTGTCATGATTTCAAACTTTTATCGGTGAGATAAGTAAATGCTTCATTTTACAAAGAAACATCATTTTTTATTTTGACAGTTCGATGCTTGATTACTAGATAGCGCCAACAACATTGTTTTCAGACTGCACACGCAAAAATATAAATTTAAAAATACATGTAAATATGAGCCTTCCAAAATAATTTCTCAAAACTTTCTTTTATATCTTGTTTACAGTCTTTCTTTTATATCTTCTTACACTTATTTACGGACATTTAAAGTCCAAGTCCTTCTGTTACAAATGTGAAGTTCAATTATTAAAATCGTTGGCTTACATTCTGATATAGTCTTTAGAATCACTTTTAAGGATCATTTTGTACAAATGAAAGACGAAGAACGTGTTTTCTTTAAAAGAGCACTTTGTATCAACCACCTTGTATAAACTGCATTGGACATTTGATTTATTTCATCCTTAACTTATTTCAATAGTTCGTACAATATATCCATTAAATCTATAAATAAATTAGCATATTACAATGAATAAGTATTAAAAATTCTACAACTATTCGTGTAAGTATACATTCTTGACCTTATTATCGTCATAAATGAGTACATGCACATTGCTATACACTTTGGAGAGTTGATACTAAAACACAATTATAAAAGAAACGAAATCTTATCTAATAGCTCTTAATTACTACATTTTTGGTTTATTTATACAATTAATTAGAGCGAAATTTCACATAGCAGAATATTCATATAATATGTAACGTGAACGTACATGGTTATCATCCTGAATATAGTTAATGGCCGTGAGAATATTTGCAGTACGTCTGTATTTTGTTATATCAATGGCCATAAATTAAGAGCGAAATTTAAACCATCTGAGCGTGCGTTTATGTATAATAGACAAAGCTTATTCCAAAATCGGTACGGGGACCGATTTTGGAAAAGTGGGACGTGGAAAATTTTCTTCTATAAGAAATGTTAGTTTTCAGTTCATAAAATTGTTTTGGACAAAATTGCAAAATCGGCCCCCGTACTGACCTAGATTAAACTTCTGAGAGTAGTATGCAAAAGAAATCATGTCGAAATATTACTTCTTCGCAGAGTCGTTTGGGATGGGAGAATGCGTGTTTTTTCGTAGCATCCTATTTACCGTCCTTGTCTCTCCTAACCAAAAACACAATAAGTAGACAGAGAACATTCGATGAACTTCACACCGCTCGATCTAGTGATTTTCTCTACTCTTAACTTACCCACATCCTAAATTCCCTAGACCACGGACGGTAAACGCAACAAATATGTTTGACTAGTTTTTCAGTATTGTTTGACCAAAATTTTTAATTGGCAATCCTGATATACATTCTTGTTTCACCGGCATGACGCTACGCGCTCAGTTTTTTCAAAGTATTCTGCTAATACATATTCAGTTAACGTTTTTTTGATATAGCAATTATAACTGTTTAATTTGACAGTTTACTTTTATTTTACTATGTCTAATGTCAGAATTCAGATTTTTAGTTTAGTGTTAGTAATATTTTGTAAAAGAATGTAGTATTTAAATTAAATTTTAGTGGTAAATATTAGTGTGAGAGTATAGTGGTAGTGTTTTTTCATAGTTTCTTTATAATTTTCTTACAATTTTTATAATACATTTAGTTGTGTAGTTGTTATAGCATTTTCGTTATAATTTTGCAAATTTCTTATCACTTTATATTTTTATTGTTATAATTTTATTATTGTGAAATTAAATATCTGGTTGCAATTATGAAACGAAAACGAGGCCAAACAATACATAGCGAAGCCCGAAATATAATCCGCAATGTAATACGAAAATGCGATGAAGAAGCACGTAAAGGTCAGTTCCTTTATCCACTTCAGCAAGCAAATCTCCGTGCTTCAGAATATGTGGGAGTATCTGTTAGAACTATCAGCCGTATCCGAAAGGAGGACTCAATGATTGGAGAAGATGAATCGCTACCATCACCAGGAAAGAAACGTCCAAAAAGTGATGATAACAAATTTCATTGCTCGATTGAGGACCAAACAATTATCAGAAACACTATTTATGATTTTTATACGATAATGAAAGTTATGCCAACAGGCAATAAATTATTATCGGCCATCCAAGAGAAGATCGATTTTCCATGGGCAGTAACAAGTCTTTATAGATTACTTAAACGTATGGGATTTACATGGAAAAAAACCCATAGCATTAGAAGGGTATTAGTCGAAAATCCAAATATTGTAGGATTGAGATCAAAATATCTAGAAGCAATGGAATATCATAGAAATCAAAATAAGAGTATAGTTTACATTGGCGAAACATGTGTGGATAATATCGCATGTTTTCATCAGTGCTGGGAAGGTCAGGACAATTTAAAAACTACAAAAATTACCAACCCACCACATAGATGCAATATTGTTCATGCTGCAGGGAAGGATGGTTTCATAAAGGGAACAGATTTAATATTCGAATCTTGTTCAACAACTGATGACTACCGCAGACAAATGATAGCAGCAAATTTTGAAAAATGGTTTACTGAAAAATTGTTGCCTAATATCCCTCCAAAATCTGTGATAGTTATGGGTGACATTCCTTATCATTTAGATCAACTGAAAAAACCACCTTCAAAATATTCTGCAAAGAAAGAAGTAATCCAATGGTTAACAGAAAATAATATTCCACATGGATCTGACATGAGAAAATATCAATTGTTCGAACTCGTGGAAAGTAACAAAAAATTAGAGAAAAGTTCTAAAGTGGATGAATTATTAAAACTACATGAGCACATTATATTACGAATACCACCACATATGCATGACTTGAACCCTATGGATTTGGCTTGGTCTCAAATAAGATGTAAAATACAAGAAAGTAATACATTCCTATTAGCAAACAATGATTTAAAAGCAGATGTGATTGAGGCAATTAATGAAGTAAAACTGGCAGATTGGCAAAGTTTCTGGACACACATAGAACAATTGGAGACAGAATATTTGCAAAAAGACAGAATAATAGAAGAAACTATAGATAATTTAGGAATCATGAGTAGTGACTCAGAAAGTGAGTCTGAAAGGAGTACATCGTCTGAGGATGAGTAAGGTAAGAAAATGTATGCATTTTTAAAATTTTTATTGATATAGTGTTCACTGATAACAATTCAAATTATTTTTAACAGGGTAATTCAAGAAATCAAGGACTCTGGCTGGAATGGACTATTTAATATGTTTGCTACTAGTACCATATATATACAACACTTTCGTTTTTCCCAAAGAAGGTTTTAAATAGTTGTTTCATATACTTTAAAACAGATAAAAATTAAATGTCCAACTGAGAACTAGTAGAGAACATGTTAAATTTTGTATGTATGCATGTGTGTGTTTATATCTTTAAAGAATGTATTAAATATTTATTTTGTACATGTATAAGTAGTAGATATGTATATATTAAATATTGAATGTATATATGTACATGTAAGTAATGTATATGTTAAGTATTAATTTTATACCTTTTTTTTCCATAATACTTAAATACGTGTTCATAGTGTAAATGTATATTAAACTATTATTAAAATATTATATTTTTTTTATTATCGATTGTTCGAAATACTAACTAAGAACCGTACTAAGTCATGATTGTTATAAAAAGAAACTCGTAAAGTTAGTAGTAATACATTACTGAACATATGAGAAAAAATGAAAAAAGTTTTTCGTTATGTTTGTTAGTAGTGATATTTTGTATTCTCTTATATAGACTTATACAAATAGACTACATGTTTCGCAAGAAAAGTTGAATCCGAATCACATCACAGAGAGAGGGATGATTAAAGGACAATATGGTTACTATCAGAGCTGAATATATCACTAGGCAAAATAGATCTGCCTAAAATCCAGCAAAATCAATGGCTTGCATAGAGGTATTTGTCATTAATTTATTTTAAAAATTCTTTGATATGAGATCGTTATTGAAAAGCTTTTGTATAGCAAAGTTAAAAAAATCTTTAATTCCTTAAAATAATTTAATAAATATTGTTTTTACTTTTATTTTGTTTTTTTTTTGTAATGATAAACTGAAATAGTAGAAATTATGACTTGTGATTTGTTCAATAAGTGGTTTAAATTGTGGATTATTTAATAAGTAATGTGCTAATTTTTATTTCTATAAGAACAGTTTCGACTTTCATTTTGTTGACTCGTGAGCAAAATAGTCAATTTTTATATTGAAAGCTACTTTCGAAAATGCTCACTTCACACGCAGACTTCACGGCGAATGAATATTTGAAAATGTTGGATAGTGAATACTATCTTAAAGTTCCATGTAACATTTATTATATTTACTAATACAACTATGAATATTTTAAGGTATAAGTTTGTGAATTTTATCGGACGGCACGTAGAGGATTATTTTAATGTTGTTCGTATGCTAGTATGTTTGTATCTGTTCTTTCTCGCAAAAATTTCTGTCGACATTAACTTGTTCTTATAGTGGGGCTTTTTCTAACAACGGTTCTGATTGGTGATTCGAAATTTTCTTGAGTTTGGGGAAATGACATACATTTGGCGGGGACTACCGTTAGCCTCAGGTAGGTTCTCTGGAGCTTCTATGTTTAGGGCGGTTGAGATTGTACATTTTTTAACTTTCCTAGGTGTGTAAAACCGGTGACCTTTTTTATGGCATCTGTAAGGGTAATCATGTATATTATTGAATTTTTTGACTTTATGATTTTAGAAGGTTTCCTCGAAATATGTTTTTCAATTGCCCTACCTGGATGGTTAATTTTTGTTACCTTGAGAGGTCACAGGTCACTTTAACGACTTACAAATTTGTATAATATTTGTTACGCAGTAACACATTTATTTGTTTAGTGTTGGAAAGCTGTAGACATGGCCATGCTTACTATCATAGATATACATGAATATACATATGTATAACAGCGAAGAGACCCGGATGATTGTTGAAAGCATCAACACTCTATAGGTAATTTTTTTTTCAATATTGCTAATTGTATACAGATGAGAAACGTTATCAAGGTGTTACACGTGAATTTTAATAAAATTTACATTGGTAGTAGCTTTTTGTAAGTTAATTAACGCGTATTCTTTTCTATCTACTAATATTCATGTTTGAGAGCGTGAAAACAGCTCTCAAAGTTACGGGTTAAAAACACATTTTCTTAAATATTTCGGAAACTAAAGGGTGTAGAAGGGTGCTTTTTTTTGAACTGTGTATTTTTGGGTAAAGAATTTAGTTCATTATAAAAATTTAGAGAGAAACTAATTTAAAAATGATAAGAAACTCTGTTTCGTTAAAGATAACATACATCTTTTATGTTCCATTACTAGTTATCATATAAACAATAGTTTGCGAAAAAAAAAGAAAATAAAGAACATTTCGCAAAGAGTTTTTTAATTTTTATTCGTTCTTAATTATTTCTTATCAAGGAAGATCACAAAGAAATGTATATTTTCTATTTTCCACCTATAACTACAATTTTTTTCTTAAATCGAAAATTATTTTAGAGAATTTCTATAAATTATAGCAGGAACAGTTTATTTATTATGTGTAATTATGCGAAAATAAAATGTTGATTAAGGCTTTCATATTAATTGCTGTTTATTCAGAAATATTACTTTTCCGTCAAAGTTTCCTTTTTGTATCTTAGGTCTTTCATCGATAAGCGTTTGCGATTTAATTGAAATAAAAATATTTAATATTGAATAGTGAGGAATTAATGTACGAGGGTTGTCCGTAAAATAAGGTTCACAATGAAAAACATGTTTATTGGCATTGAGTAATATGTTTTTGGAAAGCTTAGACTTAACCCTATTTTTCGACGCAATCGCCGTTCAGATCAATGCATTTTTGCATGAGGTGCACCATCTTTTTTATGCCCGCATCATAGAACTCTCCGCCACGCCGCGAAGGTAGCTTAGAACGGATGGCCGTCCGCAACGCTGTTCGTCATGGACATCTGTACGTCCGTCTTTGAATTTTCTGCACCATTTTCGCACGTGCTTTACGCTCATACACTTTTTTCCGTAGATTTCACATAATTGGCGATGAATGTCAATTATTATTGACAAGGATTATTATTATTATCATATCATTATTAACTTTGTATTAATTGCAATGTAACTTTCTTTTTTATGAAAATATATGTATAAATTCTGTGAATGTGCTATCATTTCGCCGGCACTATTTGTATATTTCTTCTGCTTGCTCAAAAACATAGCAAGGTCAACCATATTTACTAAGAAGTTCCTTCTCTCGGCCATGTAACAATTAGAATGGTATGTATTACATTAAAAAATTCTAAGTAGATTTCAAAAAATTAAAGATAGCACACATGTGCTATCTTTTTGTCCGGGGGTATAGGAGAGTTATGTTTCTATAATTTTTTGTGTAATTTGACTCTTTTGTCTTTCTTAGATTTAGGCATGTCCTTAAGCAGTGTCTTTCGAATAGTCTTACTTCTTCCATCTTATTGTTAGGGATATTATACCAAATTGGACTCGCGTATGTTAATATTGGCCGTATCAGAGCTGAGTAGCAGAGGATTTTGACGTTATTATTTAGGTATTTGGAAGGGAATAATCTTGACAGAGCTTTGTATGCTCTTTTTGCTTTATTTAGTTGATTGTGGATGTGTGTGAAATATTTGAGTTGAGTGTCCAGTGTTACATCTAAGTATTTAACCGTTTGTTTGTGTGGGATGAGTGTTTATGAGTGCGTTGATTCTTTAAGCTGGAAGTTTTTCCAGCTCTGTTTTGTGTTTCTGGTGGCGTGTTTTAGCAATGGCCGGAACAATATTGTTTCACATTTATTTATATTTATTTTTAGTTTCCAGTTATTGAAATATGTGTTTATTCTTTCGAAGAGGGATTGCAGAGCTTGATGAATTTCTGTGGATTTTTTTCCTATGAAGTATATGATTAGATCATCTGCAAAGGCTATGGCTTTTAGGTTTTCTGTGTTAAGAGTGAATAGTTTTAGGAGTGCAGCTGTGTAAATGTTGAATAGAATTGGTGAAGTTACTGTGCCTTGTTGTAGTCTGTTTGTGATTGTGAAAGTTTTTGATTGGAGTTTACCTTCTTGTACTATAAATTTTTTATTGTTTATCATGCTCCAGATGATTTTGATCAGGTGTGATGGGTATTTGTATTTGTGTAATTTGTACAGGAGCCCTTTGTGCCATACCGTGTCAAAGGCTTTTTCCAGGTCTATGAGGCAGGCTCCTACACATAAGTTGTTATTTAGTGCTTCATTGATGTCGGTGGTTAGTTTGTGTATTGCGTGAATGGTGGACGATCTGTATCGGAATCCGAATTGGTATGGCGGTAATATGTTGTGTGCTTCCGTGTGTGCTGATATTTGTCTATGTAGAATTTTTTCGAAAACTTTACTTATATTAGGGAGTAGGCTAATAGGTCTGTAGTTAGCAGGGTTATCGGTATCTTTTCCTCTTTTTTTTAATGCTATTGTTTTTGCTGTTTTCCAGATTACTGGGAAATATCCGTTGTTTATTTACCTGGCAGATTTTTGAGCACTGTAATAGGAATTCTGTTAAAACTGGCTGATTTTTTGTTATTCGTTTTTTTAAGAATATTCTTTATTTCAAGTTGACATATGAAGGCATTCGTGGGAATTTCGGACGTGGGACTGTATGCTGGTGATTGCGTTGAGAAGGTTGTTATGGTTTTTTGTGTCGAAGCCTCTTCCATGAGATTTTTTTCGATGGTGTCTGTTTTATTTTCTATTATTGATTTAAGTTGCGGGTTGCCTAAATGGTTGTTTTGGTTGTGCGTTATTTCGAAGTGGGCTCCTAATACATTGAGTTTATTTTGTGTATCTGTTATTGTGAAGGTGTTATTGTTTGGTGTTAGTAATGTAGTATCTATTTCTGCTGTTTGTATGAGGAGTTGGTTGTTTTTATTGATTGTGAGATTTTCTGTTTGAGAGGTGGTGCTTTTTGTTTTAAATATATTGTTGATTTGCTGGAAAGGATTTGTGGGACCTTTCAGAGCAATTTGTGTGATTTTATCTTTCCAGTGTGTGTTAATTGATTTTTTAAATTCTGCTCCTATTTGTGTTTTTATGTCTTTGAGGGGGCCTTGGATCTTATTGTTTAGTTGGGTGGATGAGTGATCATTGAAATTATTTATTTTGTGTAATTGGTTTAGTAGGTAATTTTTGTTTTTTTGCAAGTTTTTTATTTTCTTATTTAGGTATATTTCTGAGGAGTTCGGTGTTTTGCGTGTTGGAATGCGAGAACCGGTGTATCCTGACTAGTATGGTCGTTGGCTGGTAACTATAATTTTAGATTTCCAATACCACCATACAATATAAATATAATACATTATATTTATAACAAATTTGAAAATTTTCTATATGTATTATGACATTGATTAATATGGAAG